TTAGGTTAGATATACAGCTAGTTTCTCTTAGTTCAATGAGAAGAAATGTTTGTCCAGAAAGGTTCATCTGAGTAGGGATCAATGAACTGAGGCCCAAATGGTGATGCAAAGTGTGAGGCAGAAAGATTTAGGTCACATGGAAGAGAAGGGATTCAAATTCAGGGTCTCTGATTGCCCTAATCTGGGGGTCTCAACCAGCAACTACTCTATTCTACATTGCTGGCTTCTAAGAGGACCCTGAATGTAAGTCTTTAGCATGAGAAAATAAACCACTAGTTTTGAGATTTTCTAGCTTTTCCTTGCACTTGGTGTTAAAGCCTTGGTGTTATGGTTACTATAAAAAGTAACCATAGATTTGATACTTTAAACAGCACAGATTCATCTCACAGTTCTGGAGGCTGAAAGATCAATTTGTCAGTGGGTTTGGTTTCTCCTGAGGCCTCTTTTCTTGCTCTCAGATGATATTGTTTCATCGTGACCTCATGTGGTCTGTTCTCATATGCTCAAAATTGTAGTGTCTCTGTGCATCTGAATTTCTGTTCTCTTGAGACACCACTTGGATTTGGGCCTACATGGATTGCCTCTTTTAACACAGTCATCTGTTTAAAGGCCCTACCTCCAAACACAGTCATGTTCAGAGATCTTGTGCTTTAGTTTTTTTAATGCAAAAATTTTGGGAAGAGGACATGATTCAACCAGTAACAGAGTTATAGAATGGCCACTTAGGCCCTACAAGGTCACAGATATGACAATAAATCGCTTCTTTTAAATCAAACATGAAGAGAAATTCATCGCTTGACACATCTAACCTTCTGCACAGTCACCCTGGGCTGAAATGGTTTCTTCTCCTTCCATTCTTCCTTGGCAAATCAGTTGCTCAGACTCTCAAGAAAATGGTTTGCTTTCTGATGATGAGATGAATCACAGATGACACTGTGTTTCTCTTCACAGCAGGAGACACCTGAGATCCTCAGAGGCTCCAACAAATCTCTTGCCTTTCATGTGATACATTCTCTCCTGGTAAGTGAACTTGGGTATGGCTGACTCTTCAGAGACTTATTTAGCAAACATCCTTGGGCCACACTCAGTGTATTCACAAAAGGTAGAGACATTACTCATCAATTAATTAGTTCACTATGTATAAGCCTTATGTACAACCCCAAAGCACATAGCTCCAAAAGTCCAAAAGCTTTATGTAATCCACATGGCAGCCAAATCTGATTCTGATTGATTTGTGCCACAGCCATTTTTGCTCTTACACATTCATTCACTTTATGTATTCCACTATTCTTGTTTCTTGGTGAATATATCAATGTGGTGTTGGGATACTGCCTCCTTGGGCATGTTGCATGGTATGAGACATTTGTTGTGAATTATCTACAATTTGAAACCTTCTGAATTCTGACATACACTCAGGACTAACAGCCAGTCTTACTACATACCAGCCCAGCCTTGTGCTATTTCAGAAGTACCAGTAATTCACTCACACATTCATTTATTAGCTAATCATCTGCTCATTCTTTCACTTCACAAACACAGGAGCCTCAATTCTGGCTGTAGACTCTGGGTTGTAGAGATGGATTTCAATTCTACTCTCCTTCCATCATTCCATTTGTATTATTTAGCATGTATTCAGTGCAGATTTATTTATTTATTTAATTCAGGGAACAAACTTTTATTAAGATCCAGCAATACTCAAGGCACTGCTGTGCAGTGTGGGCTATATAGACATGACATTGCATTTCAACTAGAGCAGTGGAGATTCCAGGTCTATGGTGCCCACAGGATGAAGTGGTGGCTCCTTTGCGGAGAAGAATTTTGGACATGTAATGGTGAGGAGAGCTTGGGAGGAATGATGAGAGCCAACTGGGTGTAGGGGATGTGAACAGATCTGTTAAAGGGGTTTCCTGAAGCAAGACAGGATACTTGTTGTTGTTAATGCTATAGAAGTATAAATGCAGAGTCTTCCTGGGTGAAATTGAGATGCATGTGGAAAAGATGGCCCTAAATGTAGACCTTGGAGGTGGGAGGCAATGCAGTAGGAAGGAATTTCAAGTGGAAATAGCATCTTGAGACAAGTCTGAGGGGTTGGAAGTTGGTTGGTTGTGAAAGTGCCAGAGGAAATGAAAGACATGAACTATCACCTGGCCTACTAGAGTGCCAGGAGTTGTTGCAAATGGTTAAAAGTTCTCTACATATTCTTACTCCAATTCCTTAGCAGTTTGTGCTGGGACTGTCTTCTGGGGACATAGGGGAGACTCTACCCAGTTTGTTGGGTATAGCCCCATGAGGTTTGCTTGGATGAAGTCCAGGTGGCTAGGCTCTTGAACCACAGCCTGAACCTGCTGCAGAGTCCTCCTTTGCTTTGAGCCTGATTAACAACTATCAACCTTCTGAGGAGAAGAGAGGGAGTGGGGGAAAGAGATATATCTATGTGTGGAAGCAGGATATTTTGGAAAACTATACTGAGGATGTGATAAGCTATTCTAGATGTGTTTTAGGAAGCCTCTCCCTAAATTCCAAAGAAGCCTACCAGAAGTTGTACCACTAAACAGTTTTAATAGTTGAAGAGTCCACAGATGGTTCAGCTTTCCCTACAGCACCATATACCCCCAAAATATCGCCATGATATAGAAGCTTGCGTATTGCAGTGAGGATCATTGGGTTTGAAAGCAAATAGATTGAATAGAATTTGGATCAACCTAACACTAGTTTACTAGTCTTTTAACTAGAGTTAATTTTAGTACTTGCATTATAGGACTTCTGGGTGGATTAAATGAGGTAAGCCACCAAAATCAGTCAAGCTTTTTCCTTCTCAGCCCAATGCTTAATGTACTGACATTGTCATTGACTTAGATCACCTATGACTATGTTTTTTTTTTTTTTTTTTTTTTTTTACAGCACATCCCCCTACAGTACTTGCATGTTGTGGAGAATGAATACTTCCCTGGAAAGCGCTCTATGATTGAACTTCGAGATAGTTTACTGGACTTGCTTGGAGATGTGTTCTTTGTTGTCCCTGGGCTAGTCACAGCTCGATATCACAGAGGTGAGACTCCAAAGGTCATTCTCCAGGGACATTGTTGAATGAGGCCAGTGGGTACATGGATCCATGTTACCCACTAACTGGCCACCTGTTCTGCCCCTTTTATCCCTCACTGAGATGGAGTTCTCTTATATACCTTCAATAGAGCCATGCCATGCTGAACTGTGCAATCCCCTGCCTTTTAGAGTTTGGGGACTCAATCAGTTCTTTTTTCCATTCCTATCCCTTACTCATGATCATGTGGAAAATGTCCAGCTCCCTATAATTTTCTGGGCTTCATCTCCCAAGTTGTTCTGTCTATGGAGTTATCTTCCTAACATCTCAGTTAAGGAAGTAATGGAAAATAGAAAAGAAGCATTTTGTAGAGGTATACAAACTTTGCTTCTCTTCTCTTTCTTTTCTTTTTTCTTTCCCCTTTCCCTTCCTTTTCCTTTTAAACAAATACTATCTTTTTCAAGGGCTTCACAAATGCCTGGTCTTGTTCTATATCCTGGAGATATAGTAGTGAACCAAACAGAGACTCAGCCACCATTCTAATATGTGAGATTGGTAAAAAATAAACAAGCAAACACAGAGCATGATAGATGTTAATAAGCATTATGGAGTAAAAACACAGTAAGGTTTATCAGTGAGTGGATCCTGTGGCAGGTCACAGTTGAATGAGGTCTGGTAAGGCGACAGGTGAGATGAGGACTAAGAATGCGCTACTACAGAAGCTAGGAAATTGATCAAAAGTGTGTAGGTGGGACTAGGTCTCAGTGCCTAAAGTAAACAAGCTACCTCAGTCTGGAGATAAACATCCTATCTGATTAAAGTCAGCTATTAGTCACTAGGCAACCTTGTGTCACATGTTACTAACTTTGCAAAAGTAAATAAAGGACCATTTTGTTGCAGAAAAAAAAGAAAAATATATGTATACACGGGATAGTTAGGTTAGATATACAGCTACTTATTTCAATGAGAAGAAAGGTTTGTACTAAGAGTGTTTGGACAGGATATCATGTCTGCCTTTGTACTATGAATAATTACTACTAAGACAACAATATGCAGTGTATTAATTATTGTAACTGTCTTTGTCTTACTGACCTGTCTTGAAATTGTCTTATTGATATTTGTTTCTCAATAAAATTAATAAAAAATGAAATGATGACATAAAAAGGAAGAAATGTTCCTACTAATATTGTTTAGACAAGATAGCATGTCTGCATCTTGTCCTCTGAATAACTACTATGAAGACAAAAATATGCAATGTTTTAATTATTGTAAATGTCCTACTAACCTGTTTTGAAACTGTTACATTACTATTTTATCTTTTTTTCCTCATTAAAATAAATAAAAAGAAAAGAAAAAAAAGAATGGGCTGCTGAACTTGACAAGTACAGGTCACTGCTGATCTTGACAAGAACTGCTTAGATGTCATGACAGGTGAATGAAAGCTTGATTAAAATGGATTCAAGAGAAGATGGAGAAATTGATCTTTAGATTCAATGTAATCCCAATCTCAATAAAATTTTTACAATAGTTTTGAAGAATGGAAAAATTAATTATAAAATTTATGTGGAAATATGAGGATAGCCAAAAATTCTTAAAAAATATTTGGAAGACTCATTGATGTGCAGTAAATAAATTTTCATGTTGGCTAAAGGTTAGATACATAGAACAAAAGAAAAGAGCAGAGAGTCCAGAAACTAGGCCCAATTTTTATGCAATTAAGGATCGGAACTGAGATAATTGAATATATTTGTGAAAAAACTCATAACCACTAATTCAAACCATACATAATAGTATTTTGAGGTTAATTGTAGATACAAATACATAGGTTAAAATTTTATGAAAGTAAATTTTTGTTTGTCAAAAGATATTACTAATAGGGCTGGCCAGATAGCTTAGCAGACTAAAGCGCCTGCTTAGGCAGACATAGGGACTGGGGTTTGATCCCTGGTATTCTGTGCTGGTGATTGAGACCAGGAGTTTTGGCATGCACCTGTAATCCCAGTGCTTGGGAGGCTGAAAACAGGAGCATCACTATGAGTTTGATCTGTGTAGTGAGACCCTGTACTAAATGCATAAAAATACAAAATTAAAAAAAATATACAGCTGCTTTCTCTTGATTTAATGAGAAGAAAGATTTGTACTAATAGTGTTTGGACAGGATATCATGCCTGCATCTTGTACTATGAATAACCAATAAGAAAATAACAATATGCAATGTATTAATTATTGAAACTGTCATATTAATTGGTTTTGAAACTGTCTCATTGCTTTGTTTCTCAATAAAATTAATAAAAAAAGATGTTATTAATGAGGTCAAAAAGAATGAGGGAATGTAGAATTTCATCACCCACATTTTTGTCAGAACTCTGGAAAAAATTACAGAAGGTGAATATTTAATTAAGATATAACCCATGAATCTCAATAATAAAGCTCTGTGGCAATTTCTCTTAATCTTGAAGCATAGTCTGCTATCCAGCAAAGCAAAGATTTTGTACTTCAGCAACCCACATTAATTGTATATTATCTTAATACTTGGGAATAAAAATGGAATTTATTATCAACGAATTGTAGTTGGTTGTTTTGATTTGTCTGGTGGCTCCAAAATGACTAGCCTAAAAGGACCATTTCCATCAAAGCCTTGTTTGTATTAGGCATAAGTTAGAACTCTGTTAAAGGTGAGGCAGTTACCTTGAAGGTGTGTATCAGAAACACTTAAGGTAATTATACTAGTTTTTGCAATCAAAGAAAACAATAAACAAACTGAAAATATTTGGGAGGGGAAGTTGAGCAATGAAACTTTGTGAAAGAAAGGCTTGAAAAACCTTCATATATTTTTGGGACTCTAGAAAGCTGTGTGCATGGTTTTGTTGGTTTGTTTGTTTGTTTTCTTTGCGGTACCAGGGATTGAACTCAGGACCTTACACTTGCCAGGCAAGCACTTATCCTACTGAGCTATCTCCCTGGCCCCTATGTTCATGTTTTGTAATGCTTATTTCACTACATTTTTAAAAGTAGCTATGCTATTAATTTCAAAATATTTGTCAGTTCTCCAGATTTCCTTTTGTTATTGATTTCTGATTTCATTTCATTGTGATCAGAGAAAACATTCTGTGTGATTTCTGTCATTTTAAATTTGTTGAGATATATTTTGTGATCTAACATATTTTATTCCAGAGGATATTCCATGCACTGTGAAGAAGCATATGGACTCTGATGCTGTTGGGTGCAATATTCTTTGCATGTCTATCAGGGCTAACTAATTTATAGTATCACTCAAATTTTCTTATTTCTTTACATTTTATATAGCTATTCTGTTATTGAAAGTGGCATGTGAAAGTTGCAAACTATTAATATAAAGATATAGAAATTAAATATGAATACAGGCTAAGGATACAATATAAATGAATCTTGAGAATTTTAAGTTAAGTGAAAAAATCCAGAAGCTAGATGAAAAAAGCCACATGCTGTATGGCTCTATTTATATGAAATGTCCAAATTAGGCAAGTCTATAGGGTTAGAAAGAATAGTGTTTTCCTGTGGCTAGGAGGAGGATTAAATGGAGTGACTACTTAATGGATGTGGGCTTTCTATTTGAAATGAGAAAAATGTTCTGGATATAAATCATCATGGCATTTGTACAACATTTTGAATGCATTAAGAATCACTGAATCACATATATTCTGTAAGATGGTTAAAGTGGCAAATTTTATGTTGTGAATTTCATCCTAAAAATGAAAAGGAAAACTACAATTCAGAATAAAATATTCACAATAAAATTACTTCACAAAAATCATGCTCAGAATAGAGGAACTCAAATTCATGATAGAAAAGTCTTTTGCAATAATGGGCAAAGGATTTGAAAAGATCTCTCAGAAAAGACACAGGAATATTTCAAGGCCAATGAAAAGTGTTCAACAATATTAATCATCAAGGAAATGCAAAATGAACCAAAATGCAAAACAAAGTAACCATTTTTACTCACTAGAATAAATTTAAGACACAAACCATGCAAAGATGTATTGCCAAGAATGTACATTGCTCAGAATTCTGAGAAAATACTAGAGGGAAATGGAAGTAGTATAACCACCTTGAAAAATTTGCAGTTTCTCATAAGTTTTTCTCACAGTCATCTGATTCATTCTGTTTCTTGGCATTCATTGAAGAGTGAAAGTATATGTGCATACAAAAGACTTATACATGTCTACTCATAGCTGCTGTAATCATCAGAGCCCCAGCCTGGAAACAACCCATCTATCATTAGATGAATGGATAAGCAAATTTTGCACATTCCTGCAATGACAAAGTACTTGGTGATAAAGAGGAATTGACTATTGATACAATAATATGCATGAATCTCAGAAAGTTATGATTAACAAAATAAGTCATGGAGTATATAATAGAGTATATATTGTATTATTTCATTTACATGTAGTTTGAGAATGGGTGATATTAATTTATAGTAATTGGAGTGAGAATATAGTCTGTATCTTGGGCAATTGATTAGAAGGGACCTTTCTGGGGTGGTGATGATACTGTACATCCTGATTGAGGTGACACTACATGACTATATA